ATTTGGCGCTGGGGAGCGATTCCCGCGACGGTGGGGCGCGGGCCATGGCGTTGGGGGAGGCTGCTGGTGTTTAGGAGGCCGGTCTTGGGGAGGAGGGTCAGTGGAAGGGAGGGTGGTTCGAAGGGGTCCCTGATTGTGAAGAGCCGAAGGAGGCAGATGCGGAGGTAGCCTGTTGGGGTCGAGGGAGTGCCGCCGGGGCCGAGGGCGAGGAAGGCTTGGTAGTCTTTGTGGATACGGTGGAGGAGGAATATGGTTGGTAGGAGGAGGATTGGCAGGAGGAGGAAAATGCTGTCTAGGGGTGGACTGTAGGTATGGTTGGTTGTCGGGTCTTCCTGTTTGGTGTTAATTGAAGTGTTTTGGGTAGCAAGGAGGTACGGACCATTGTCGTCAATTCTTGATTTACCCTGCCCTATGTGGTGAAGTCTGGTGCTGCTTGGGTGGGAAGAAGGGTATGGACGAGTGGTATAGATTCCAATTCAATTGACTTCGAGACGGGAAAGCTGCATAGCTCCGGGAGTATGTGATTCACTTCCTAGTTTTATAGTTAGTCATCGGCATCAAGACCGCAGGTGCCACGATACTGGACTGACCCAGTTGATATTGAATGGCCGGGGAAGCAATCCGTGCTATCCGTCGGGGCATCGAGACCTCCTGATCAAGAATTTGAACCTGCTTGGTGCAGCGTGCATGGACAGGTGGGCCAATCATCACCGTTGCATCACACACCGCAAGTACCGCGAGGCGAAAGCTGTAAAGGCGACAAAGAAGGTTGGTCTCCGTTTATAGGGGACAGCAATCAAGTGCCACCATTCCGTGTGCGATTTAAAGGGTGGCCATCATGCGATCTTGGAACACGAGATGGATCGTCGTCACTGTGATGTATGACGACAGCTATTCCAATGGGAGTGATCTCGGGAACTAAAATAAAGCAAATATTGATTAGCGAGTTAGTTTCCGCAGTGTCCATCGGTCAGCAACGGCATGCCGACCCAGTCAGCGGGTGACTTTTCCTATCCCTTTGGAGGTTTCCATCACGAGGCGGTGCTCCCAGTCCAGCACATTCTTGCACGATGGGCTTAGGCTTGGTCTTTGTTAGGCTTTCATGGCTGGCGGTGGAATGTAAGTTGGACTCTAAGCATGTGGAGAGAAAGCCGGGGTAAAATTGTGGGCCCGTGGGTAGGGTCATGCTGGACTCGGTGCTTGCTTTTCTTTCTTTCTTACGGAAAGGGGCTCGGATCGATCCTGCTGGAGATTCACGATTGTGTTGTCAGTTATATTGGGTCAATTTGACAATTGAAGAGTGATTTCACCGCCATTGCCGATGAATTGCGGGAAAATGGTCATTCCTAGAGATCGAGTGTAGTCCAGGTGAGGCGGCCAGCGTCGGATCAGGAAGATAATGCGTATGCACCTTGCAGATCAATGGAGAAGGCACGAGGGAGGCCTATCCTTGTGCGTGGTTTCTGCCTGGTCGTTGTACTTCCTGTTGTTCTTGTCTTCTCGTTGTGGTGGTTGCTTTTGTTGGCCTGATTCAGTCACAGTTATGCCTCAGGCGATAATATGCCTATACTGGACTAGACTATAATTGTCAATGCCTCTAACCGCATGTGGACAGCACGAGACATTCCATCCCAAATGAGACTCCCTTTGGATATCCGGATGATTTGATGAAGGCAACTTCATCATGGCTGATTTTCAGAGTGCTTCTACTCTACATAGTGAGCAGCATCACCACGTCCTTCCTTAACAGCCACTCATGGCGCCTTACCGATTTAAGACAACCTCGAGGCCTTGCGCCAAGCCGTCCTGCCGGACTAGTGCATCAGCACGGCCGTCCCTTGGGCAACGCTTCCTGGCCGATCTACCAAACAGCTCGCTATGCCGTTGCCTGTCGGCAGCTCACTGTTTTGTTGATATCGAGGTTGAGACAGGTTTGCTCTCGCCATTATCTCCTGTTAACTTGTTTGGGATCCACTGCCCTTGATCCGTGGTTACCCTGGGGTTTTTGCGGCTGGTACTGGTTTGTTTGTATTCACTGCTATTATAGTAGTGGTATACCACTCTAACAAGCAGACCATCGCAGACGTGCGCAACAGTCGCACGCCCATTCCCGGGCCCAGTCATCCCGAGTGTATACTCGCTGCAGCAATTGCATACTAATTCGGAAACAAGTCGACTGCTGAGCATTCTTTTCTCCCCGAAGCTCGATGCCGTTCTATTGATCGCCTGATCCACTCGCATACCTCTGACGTCGCTACCATTTTCTCCTTTCTATGCGAGCATAGATCCCCGCCATGCCTGCCCGTTCGAAGAGGTATCAGGTCGATGCATCATCGCCCTATTCGAGCGACAGCCGCGATGTCGTCGACATTGAGAAGCAACCATCGAGGCCGAGGCGCCACTACCGTCGTGATAGCTACAGCTCGTATGATTCGGACAGTGAAGATGACTCGGCAAGCTCCTCCTCGGTGGCTTCCTATCGCCCCATGCTGAACAGAGCGCCTGTGACCCCCGCGCGACGGTCCCGTAGTAGGGCAGGTTATCGCATACCTAATCGGATCATGAGATGGCTCTGTCTCGCGCTACTGGCCTTCCTGGTCTTGTTCATCTGCACATTGTTCCGCTTTACCTTCCTCTCAGCTGTCACTCGCGTCAATGTTCCGTTACCCAAGCCTGCCGCAAAGCCGGCACAATGGGAGAGTTTCCCTTTCCTGAAACGCTACCATGGCGGTATCCGGTCCCTGGTATCGCGAAGCGAGCAGGTGCCAGAGTACCCCAATGACAACCTGGAAGTTTTGGGCATCGAAACCGAGAATGTTGCGAATGATACCGTCATTCAAGCCCGGGATGAGACATTGCCATTCTCGAGCTCTATCTTCAATCCGTATCCCGACTACTCGTCTACGGAATATATCGAAAAGTACGGTGAGAAGCGTGATTGCTTCCTTGATGAGGACGAGACCCTACGGATCCCTCTGGTGCATCACTATCCCGGTGTACCTCGTGGGTTTCCAGATGCTATCATGGGCTCCAACGAGATGATCGGTATTAAAGACGACGTTTGCTTTGACCGTTTTGGACGTCTGGGTCCTTACGGTCTAGGCTACAGTGTACGAAAGGGTGGTATCGGCGCGGGCCTCGAAGGCGATCGTGAAGGCTCGGAGCGTGTCTGGGACGACGTCCCGCCAGTTGACTTTCGTCGAGTTGACTGGGCAGCTGCGCAGAATCGATGCTTGGCCTCGAACAGTCATCGGTTCCGCGATCTCCCTGCATCCCAGTCCGACCGCTTCCGTACTATGTCTGTGGGTGCGCCAGACACCAAGCAGGCGCCTCAGGACAAGGCACAGTCTGATGGAAAGTCCCATCTACCTCGGACAGCGTTCGTGATCCGCACGTGGCATGATTTCCACTACACGCCAGACGACATTCTGTATCTGCGAGCCCTCATCTCTGAGCTGTCACTGCTTTCCGGCGGCGAATACACCATTCATTTCCTCGTCCAGGTCCGGGACGAAACTCTCCAGATTTGGGCTGACGACGAGGTCTACGAGCATGTGCTGAGCGAGGCCCTGCCAGCTGAATTCCGCGGCATGGCTACCCTCTGGTCCGAACGGCAGATGAATCTCATGTACCCTGGTCTGGAAGAGAACTGGGCCCGCGGACTATCCGTGCATGGCGTATACCGCAGCACCTACATGCCCATGCAATACTTTGCGCACCAGCACCCCGGATACGACTACTACTGGAACTGGGAGATGGACGCCCGATACACCGGCCACTGGTACCACCTCTTCGACAAGGTCATCAACTGGGCACGAGCCCAGCCACGCAAGGGCCTCTGGGAGCGGAACGCCCGATTCTACATCCCCTCGGTGCACGGCACCTGGGAAGACTTCCGGCAGATGGTCCGCGTGCAGACCGACATCGGCACCAACAGCCCCAACAACCTCTGGAGTGCCGCCAGCGCCTCTCGACCCGGTCAAGAACACACCCCGGAGACCCTGAAAGCGCAACAGCAACAACAAGGCGACAAGCCAATCTGGGGCCCCGAACGACCCAACGAACCTGACATCCTGGAAGTCCCCTCGGAAGGCATCCCACCCACCACGATCGACAAAGACCGTTACGAATGGGGCGTCGACGAAGAAGCCGACCTCATCGTCTTCAACCCCCTCTTCGACCCCGAAGGCACAACCTGGCCCCTCCGCGACGACGTCACCGGCTACGACCGCTCCACCGGCCCCCTTCCTCCCCGCCGCGCCTCCATCATCACCGCCTCCCGTCTCTCCAATAAACTCCTCCAAACCATGCACCACGAAACCATCCACAAGCGCCACACCATGTTCTCCGAAATGTGGCCCGCCACTACAGCCCTTCATCACGGATTTAAGGCCGTCTACGTGCCCCACTCGGTGTACATTGACCGCCGCTGGCCGACTCAGTACCTTGAATCGGTGTTCAATGCTGGCCGGAACGGTGCGTCTGGTGGTGCCCGCACGTCTGTCTTTGGCGATAGGGAACACAATTTCCGCGGCTCGACATGGTTCTATTCTGCTGGCTTTGCACCGAACTTGTGGAAACGTTGGCTGGGGTATAAGGTTGATAATGAGGGGGGTGAGCAGGCGGAGTTGGCGGGCGAGGGGAGAATGTGTTTGCCGCCGATGCTGTTGCATCCAGTTAAGGAGGTGGAGATGATTATTGACGATGGGGAGGAGAGGGGGGATGAGTGATTTGTTGATGATGGATGGTTTACATGCATAGTAAATATGTGGCGAATGGCGTTGGGACTCTGGACTAAATGATTAATGAATGTATGTATATGATGGATAGGCTAAAGGTTATGTATGTATGGTATATGAAATAGTATTTACACTAAATTGTTGAGGACATTGCAGTAAAGTGGTAGGGCGAATCAGAATCTAGCAGGTAATGAAAACTACATGGGACCGACTGATATATTGGCTGTGCATTAGTCTGTATACCCAGAACATAAGACTTCTTTAAAAACCAGATATATCCAAATCTAAACCAAGATTATCCCAATCCCAAATCTGATTCAGATCACTCAGATCTAAATCCAGATCCATGCTAGGGATACCATCTAGTCCTAGTCCACCGGCAGACGCGTGCATGTCAGGTGTTATTCCAGATGAACCGAGCCCTCCCGGCACTGACGAAACCATACCATTATCCTGTTGACTTGTAATATTATCGTCAGACGAAGAACGGCCCGCATCATCAATAATATCAGTGGTAGACGTTGTAGCAGGAGACCTCTGCGCCCAAATCACTTCCCTCTCCTGGGCAGAGAGAGGTATATTACCCACAATCTTCGCAAGGACAGCATAGCAAGTAGCGCCTGTTTTGGCCGTTCTGGCGACATCTTTCAATGTACTTAGGGCTAGAGATATGCACTCGAGTACCTTATCCCGCTGGGGAAGGTCTCGATGTTTGTCATGGATAAGAGCAGAGCAGAGGTACGCAGCCGTGTCGAACATCAGAAACGGCGCAAAGTGGAATTTGCCATTTGCGGGGAGAAGATGCGAGAGGAGTTGCTGGGCTGAGAGCATTAGGTTCAAGGCGCAGGATACTGCAGTGGGTTGAAGGGATTTTTCGAGGTTGGGTGTATGGGTGGTGGGGTTGATGGTGAGACAGGGTTTGAGGGGCATGAAGGTGACCATGTGGGCTAGGGCGTGGAGTTGGTGGCGTTGCATTGGTATGTAGGTGTGGGTGTGGTCGTAGGTGGTGTCGGGGGCCGTGAGGTGGAAGATTGGTGGGAAGGTTTCAGTCCATCGGGTGACTTCTTGTTGGATGGCGATTGCTTGGTTGGGTAATAGGATGCCGCTCATTACTCCGGGGATTGTGGAGATTCTTTGTCCTAGTTGGCATTGGAGGGATATGGATGTTACTGGGGAGGGGGTATTTGCTTCTGTGTTTGGTGTCTCGAGTCGTAGGTTGGGTAGCTCGAGGGAACAGCAGCTGCTGTTGATNATGAATGGTCGTGATAGAAGGAGCGACATTTGCCTGTAGGGTTAGTGTGAGACACTGTAAAAGGGTAGTGGACTTACCAGTCCCAGGTGTAAAGAAGACACCATATCCGTCTTCGCATCTCCCGTTCGAATTCAGACACCTTTGCTTTGGAGGAGCTACGATGCATTCCTATTCCGGATCAGTATCCGACTGGCTAGATGTACGAGGACACTGACCTAGTTCTTGGGCTTCGTGAATTGCAGCCCCCAAGGCGTGCCATGACTCGACAAATAATGCTTCGGTCTTGTACCATATTGCACCAAGGAAGAGTTGCTGTACTTGTGTCAATCCGCCTTTTCCTGGTCCAATGGCGTTGCTGAGCTGCTTGGCAGTACGATGGTACTGCTCGGAAAGACTGGCATAATTTTCGCCCAAATCACTCTCCAGTTGCTGTCGCGTCTCGACATCCAGGTAGAGAACAGCGCAGGCGCAAACATGCAGCAGCAGGGCTGTAAAGGCGGGTGTCAATGACTGGCCATTGGCTTTCCCTGACCACCACGTCGCATAGTCGTGCGAAAAAGTCGGTGGGTAAAGGCAATAGTACTGGTCATTCATCTCACTCAGAAAGTACTGCACCAGGGTATCTGGCACAAGTCGCACAAGTAAGCAGGCTATCACGAAGAGCCGTCGCCACATTTACCTGTATAAGGTTTTGGGGGAATAGTGCGAATTGCTTTTTCCAATTCGGGCGATACGAGTCCTTGGGAGGGTGATAATGCAGCTGATTGCTGTATACAAAAGTACTTTAGCATATGGCCAATGCTAGACGAACTTGCAGTCTTACAGATTGCTCAGCGCCATTTGCAAGTTGATCATCGCTATCGGGGAGGTATCCCAGCATGCGGAAATCATCCCCGGTGGCGATGCCCGACACGACTGAGCCCGGAGCTTCTGTAAGGCTTTGTCCATTGTCGCTCAGTGACACATCTATGGCCCTGCGAGTGTCAACAGTGAAATACGACAATCGAGGCATCTACTTGAGCGGACCTTGGATCATTACAGACAGGCTTAGCCTTGAGCACCTTTTTCGGTGTGAATTTACAGAGATGAGCAATCCTTCGTGCTTGGCAGTGATTGCAGGGCCATTCCCGGCTGCACTATATACCGTAGTGTTAGTACATGTACTCAAGCTGCTCGAGGTTCATGATAGGTTCGGATGCTTGCCTTCTGCTTCCGACGCTGACACTCGGTGCATGCGGTAGCCAAGCGGACCGACTTTCCGGGAGCCTGAGTTTGGACCATGGCCGCTAGGGGAATTTGTGACTGAGGATGCAGCGGAGCATTCCCGGATCCTGGAAACTGGGATCGATAATAAGAAGAGAAGCAAACTAGATGGGACTAGTGGAATGGTGGAAGTATGAAGAGTCGAGATCCAGTGACCCACTGGTTAGCTCTGTCATGTGAGGATTAGTCAGGATCTGCCCGGAGCGTGGGCTGAGCACAAAAGTGCGTGTCCTGAGAATTCCCTCTGAGCGTATACATCTTGATCATGTGACCCATCTAAACAGTGCGCGACTAAAGTCATGCCAATGTGCCTGTCATTCTTAGAGCCCTCTGTGAATACCAGCCCCGTTGTAATGACCATGTCTCGTATGACCCTAAACTACTCTGTAAATGTGGATATACTCTCAAGTATCCATAGTATCAATCCGACTTCTTATTGCAGTAAATTTTGCTTTCAACGCTCTTTGCAATAACCCTCGAGGTTTTCCTCCATTCCAATACACTACTGCAAGACTACCCCAAATCTCCCACCCAACACGCCCTTAAACAGCAACCGCAGTCCCCTTCTCCTCTGCCAACGGTAGCGAATAGTCCCGATAGAACTTCTTCCGGATGAAATCCTGGACCGTCTCCCCGCTCGTATCGTTAGGATTCAGCGGGTTCGTCGCCTCCAAATCTCCATGCCAGAAGGCGGGCACCGCGAAGCGCTCCCCACTCGCCTTGTTGAGCACCCGGTGGAGATTGCTCTTGTACTCCCCGTCCGTCCAGCGCTGCACCATGTCTCCCAGGTTGATGACGAATCGGTCCTCAACGGCGGGAACGGGGATCCACTGTTCCGTGGCGGCGTGATAGACCTCAAGACCATGCTTTCCGGGGTCCTGCAGCAGGATGGTGAGGCCTCCGTAGTCGGTGTGCGCACCGGAGCCGAAGACCCTGGGGTCAGTGAAGGTGTGTTCGGGGTAGCGGAGGAGTTTGAGGAACCTGGGCATGGATGAAGTGGAAAGCGATTGGCGTCAGGTTGAATGAACGTGAACAGACAAGTATGGAGAGGGGCGGGTCGGACTCACATTGCTGCGTTGCCTGTGAAGGAATCGAGGATACTGGGAGGATGACCCATGCCCACGACGAGGACCTCCATGACCCTGTGCCCAAGCTTGAGCAGGGCTTCGAAGTACTCTTCGACGGGTCCACGGAACTGGTTCGTGGGGACCTGCTCCGGCCAGACGTTGGGTCCTTTCAGGAATCCGATCTGGTCCTCGGGGAGATCCCTTCCGACGAAGAATGCCTGCAGTAGGAGTGTATCAGTCAGTCAGAAAGCGATAAAGGAAGGCATTGCAGACCTCCTTCTGATCTGGCAAGACGGCATGATGCGGCGTCTGCTCTCCGTACCCCTCATACCCGCGGCGCCAGGTGTTCTTATACAGCGAGAGCTCCGCCTTCTGGTCCGTCGGCAAGTCGAAGAACGTCTTGCATGCGGCCAGCATGTTTCGCTGAACTTCCAGCGAGACCCCGTGGCCCTCAATCTGGAAAAAGCCATGTTCCAGACAAGCGGCGCGGACCTGCGCGACCACCTCCTCTTTACTGGTTGGGGAGGTGGGCTCGTAGTATCCCCGCAGATCGATGGTGGGGATTTCAATCTTGGTGACTGTCATATTTTTTCAATTGATCAAAATTACGGGCTGAGAGGCCAGACGAGGAAAGTCCGGAATGAATGGTCTGAAAGTCGTCAAGGATATATAGTGGGTCGCGTCTAAATGCTGCTTCTACAAAAGCTACTGAGTATTGTGGCTTCTTATCCTAAGAGAGGAAGTACTAGGAGGTACAGGGCTATCTCATGATCCTCGGTGTAATTCGGTTTCTTTTAGTATTGTTTATGCACATAGCTTAATGGGCCTAGCGGCAGTACGTTGATATGCAACTAAAGGACCGAATAGCTCTGCCGAGGATAAGATACTACTGCATAGTTATATATCACCGAACGCAAAGAGAAATCACCGACTCTGGGATCTTCCGATCCGTGTCTCATGATCTAGCTCGCAAGCGGGAACTCTTGATAGAGAAGCTGCTCCGAACAAAAAATCAATCCCCTGAACATCGAATTTCTGATGTGCTGTGAGTATAGCAACAATTGCGTCAAATAGATTGAATGAAGCCCTTCACAGTGGACTGTAACCTTACCTTCCCTGTTCGCTAAATCACAACGTTTCTAGGATATGGGCCCTGATTAGGACAGAGAAAGATCAAAAAGATAAGCAATTAGCAAGTGCATTTCAGAATTCCGTTCAAGGAGAATAACCACATCATCAATTTCTTCCCTCTCAACCTAGACTAGACCACAGACTCAAACTAGAACACCACCAAAGTAAGATTAAACTGCGTAAACCAACTTGTGCCCCGAAACCGTCTGCCGCCTCACCAAATCCACTCCCTCCAACACTCCCTGCCACCCCCCACCCATAACCCTAACCGGATGCACATCCACCTTCCCCTCATCCAACAGCCCCTGCACCTGCTCCGTCAACCGCGCCCCAAACTCCCGGTCCTCCGGATTTGCCTCTCGCCCATACTCCCCATCCAACGCAACTTTGCGCCCGAAGATCGTCAGCGCCAGCAACCAGGACGGGGTGACGGTGTGCGGGCGTTGGGCGGCGATCGCCTCCCGGAAGGGCTCGAGGGTGACGTAGCGCCCGCCCGCGCGGCCAAGAGCACCGTAGCAGAGCTGGGTGGTTTCCGCCAGGGCGAGGCAGTCGAGCGCGTAGGCGAGGGTGTTCTTCGTGTAGGCGCGGATGGCGGCGGCGCAGTCAGGATCGTGGTAGTCGAAGACGGCTTCGGCGCCGAAGCGGCGGGCCAGGTCGAAGTGGGCGGGGGAGCAGGTGGCTACTGGGCGGAGGCCGGCTCTATCCCATTTTTACGGCTTAGTATTATGCTTTATACAAGTACCCTATTGGAGGACAGAGCAGCAGAGGCAAAGGTTAAGCGTACAGTTTCAGCAGTTGCAGTGCTCGGGTTCCCGTGGCAGTACTGCCACCCGCAACGAGGACAAAGTCTGCCTTTGTAGGTGAGCTAGCCTCCGGGCTCGGCTCACGAGTGAGAGAAAGTGGGATCTGGAGATGTTGGAAGAGACCCAGACCCGCGGTGAACAGCCCTAGCCCCAGCGAGGCGCCCTCCTCGAAACTCATCGTGTCTGGGAGCTTGAGGACCAGGTCGGCAGAGGCGGCAACGTATTCGGCGAATGCGCCCACGTCAGGCAGGAGGGGGTTCATGCCATGCACGAAGCCTGCGACCCGGTCGCCGACCTTCAGATGCGGCGGGGTGTCACTCCCCAGGGCGACGATGGTGCCCGCGAAGTCATACCCGTGGATGGCCCCCGGGACAGGGCTGTAGTCGAGCATCTTCGCATCGACTGGATTGATGGCCACGGCGGCGGTTTTGACGAGAGCCACATCGGGCTGGAGGGCGGGAACTGGGGCATCGTGATAGATGCTCAGTTGGCCGGCGCCTTCAGCGACGATAGCGGTTTGTTGGGATGGGATCACGGGTGTGGCAGAGGGCATGTTGGCGATGTGGATGTGATTGTGGATTGCAATGGCCATTCCCCATGCCTCGAGTGCCCTTTGGAAGGGCCATTGCACTTATGGTGGGCATGTGGTTGATTGCGCGTGTTGGGGAAGGATGAGAAGCAATAAAACCACCGAAGGCCGTGGTTATCGTGCTTTGGGGAAGACTTTCGGGCATTAAATAGATGCATGTGCAGGTGGGCCTGAAGATAAGGGGTTAGGGCTGTCAGTCTCCGACCCCATGTTAAACTCGTCTTCGCAATTCGGCCTTTCGGTCTTCCGGAACGGCGAAGCTGAAGGTGTCAAGCAACTGTGCCCTCCCATTGTAAGCCATTGCTTTCTGTCGATATCGATTCCAGGATGAATTCTGCCGAAGTCTTATCTCCCAATCGCCCATTGAGTCTACTCCTGAGGACCAAGCATGCAGTCCGAGAGCAAGTCGGTCCAGGAGGGCCAAGTTTGGTGCTCCAGCTCTGAAGAAGCCTCAGCAGGAGATCCGAAGGCAGAGAATGATCAGACAGTCAAACACACCCCCCATACAATTGGCTGGGATGGCATCAATGATCCGGTAGAGGCTTTACTGCCAGAATGTTTTTCCCCAGCTGTTATCAAATAGTTAATTTTGCTTGGTATGTTCACAGGATAACCCACGAAACTTCACCACCGCCAAGAAGATCTATATCACCGCTAACCTCGCCATCTTGACCTGCCTCTCTACCTTTGCCTCTTCCATTCTCAGTCCTGCCAGTCTTCATTTAATGACAGAATTTGGAATCTCGAAAGAGGTTTCGATTCTTGCTACTTCGTTGTTCGTGCTGGGCTACGTCTTCGGACCCTTGGCTTTTGGGCCAGCCTCTGAGGTCCTCGGTCGTAAATATCCGCTCAGTCTCGGTATTTTCATCTTTGGCATTTTCTCTATCCCGGTCGCAGTTGCTAAGAATGTGGCCACTATATTCATCTGTCGATTCATTTGCGGAGTATTTGGCGCGGCCCCGTTAGCAATTGTGAGTCTGTTCCTCCCAGAAGCACAACACACAACACTAACACACAACTCAGGCAGGAGGATCCCTTGCCGACCTCTACGATCCGCTTTTTCGTGGCATCGCCGTCGCGGGATTCGCCAGTGCAACCTTCCTGGGCCCCGTCCTAGGCCCCCTGGTCGGGGGCTTCGTGACCATGTCCCCCCACCTCGGCTGGCGCTGGACGCAATGGCTCGTCGTGATCCTCAGCCTGTCCTTCGGCCTCCTCTACTTCCTCACTGTCCCCGAGACCTACAGCGCCGTTCTCCTGACGCGACGCGCGCACAAACGCGGCCTCCACGACGTCCTTCCCCCGCGCCCGAAGATGACCCTCCAGATGATCGGGCGTGTGTACATCTTCAAACCGTTCCTCATGCTGTCCCAGGAGCCCATCCTCGCCCTGATAACCCTCTATATGGGCTTTATCTACGGGTTCTTATATCTGTGCTTCGAGGCCTACCCGATCACCTTCGAGCATCAGCGTGGCTGGAACCTGGGCGTCGGGGCGCTGCCCTTCCTTGCCATCACCATCGGGGTTTTGGTGGGTGTGGTGATTGTCATCGCGCATACCAAGACCCGGATGCAGCGAAAGCTGCAGCTGCACGGGGAGAATGCGCCCGAGGAGCGGCTAGTGCCCATGATGGTGGGCAGTGTGCTGCTGCCGATCGGGATGTTCTGGTTTGCGTGGACGTCGAACCCGCACATTATCTGGGTGCCACAGGTGGTCGCCGGTGGCTTTATGGGCTGTGGTATCCTTTTGATCTTTTTGCAAGGCGTAAATTACTTGATCGATGTGTACAAGATGAACGCCAATTCGGCCATTTCGGCCAACGCCATGTTTCGAGGTCTGCTGGGGGCGGGGTTTCCTTTGTTTGCTACGTATATGGTATGTCCTTGGCCAGTTTCATTTCACTGCTGACCGAATCGTCGCACATCATTCCCGGACTGACTGAATCACTATTCTCCTAGTTCAATAATCTTGGAGTACCATGGGCCATGTCCCTTCTCGGATTCCTGTCCACGGCCCTCGTGCCTGTCCCGTTTTTGTTCTATATTTATGGGGCCAACATTCGGAAGTGGAGCAAGTTCAGTCCCTGCTAGGGGGCTCGCGGCGAATGAAATTCAAGCAATACTTTGGCAATAAGTTGTTCGTGTCAATGTAATTTAATTAGGTGCCGCTGAGGGAAAATGATAGCGAATCGCAAATCTTAGATAGCGCAGGAGTTTTTCCGTGCCAGGGTCCAACTAGTTCGTGCGTAGGGCTATTTCCCCATTAGGCCAAACCGGGTGCAGCCGCCGTACGGACATTTAGTGTCTAGTAATGGCACTTAAATATAGCTGTACAGTATGGCGCCATCAATGACCCTTGCCTTACTACATTTTTAGTGCTGACCATTACCACCGCCTTCTCGTTACCCCTAATAAAGACCCTTATGTAGGAGACCTAAAACGGAACAGCAGACAACCAATCGTGGCCTAGGCCCTATATGTGGATTTCAACTCGGTCGTAATCGACTTTTGCAGCTATCCACTTACATCCTGCCTCTCCAACGAAAACCAAAGATCGGCGGTCTAATTTCCCGTCATCACCCCCCAGTCACCCTCCGTCCACACCAGTTTCATCTTCCACAGCTTGATTTTCCACAATCCATTCGCATCCGCGGGATCCTTGGCCACGTCGAAAGAGTACAGCGCCCCGCTCGTCAGGCGGGTGGTGTCGGGCTGGTTCCCCTGGCCTGTGCGGAAGTGCTGGGCCAAAGCTGAGGCGGTCACAGTCGCGGTCGTGCTGTCCTCCGAGGGGAGGTTGATGCGCACGTTGCTAAGGAAATGGGTGGTGTCCAGCTTGGAGACGTTGTCCCAGCTGCCAGACTTGATGGCCGCGCGGCCCTCCATCACGCTGCCGTTGAAGTCGAAGGCGGCGTCCTCGAAGAAGGCCGACTCAAAGAGGGGGAGGTCGTTGCCATCGAAGGAGAGGACGGCGCGGTAAACCGGGTCCACGATAGCCTCGCGGAGGGGGAGCGCGGGGAGGGTGGCGGGATAGAAAGACATGGCGAACTTTGGTAGGTAGATTATATTGAGTGTCCTGTGAATCTTGTTCCACTTTGTTTGGGCCTTTTTTGACTTGGCTTGGGGGTGTAGTATCGCCTATGATTGTAGGAGGGACTTATATACCATTCTCCCAATGGGACCACCGACGGAGACCCAGACAGGGCTGAAAGTAGGAGAACAAACAGGCCGGAGACCGAAATGGGAGCCCGAGTCTCCTTCGGTCGGGGAGATAAAATCCGTGGCTAATCTCCGTAGCCCTAACCGGCCGGGGGCGGGCCGTACTAGTGTCAACTCGCCACTACGACAGCTGCGAAATTCCCTCATCATTACTGGAGTTGGCAAATGATCAAGAGTATAAAAGCTTCTCCTCTTGGAACTTATGCTCCATGCTTGAGGGGGCGTCAGCCTTGCCCAGCTCTTGGCAGAATTGCTTGTCTTTTCTTGGCACCCCTCACCGTCTCCTCCCGGGCCGTGCCGATCCTCACCCGTTGATGCGAGAGATGTCCCCTTCGGCCGGTCGAGTGTATCAGTGTGCCTCACGTGAAGACTGGCAATGAGTGTTCTTTCATCAGTAACCCCTCATCTAGCAAGCATGATCCGGTGAGGGGAATCTGTGAGGGGAATTGGAGAAGATCGAGGTGAGGAGAAGGATAACTAAACCTGCGACCGTCGCTTGTCACCGCATCAATCCGCAAATAGGTTGGTGGCTGCGCAATGGCCGTCCTTCTCCGATGTCAAGTCGTCCGAAAGGAGAAGTACCGGTCTCTGGAACTACATGTCCGATGCACCTGTTTCGCTTCAAGACGAGTCGCAGAAACGCTACCATGGCATGGTCCCCGGCCGAGGCAGGGCTTCGATCTAGACCAGTGTCTCACGTTATCGAAGCTGAAAGGCTTTGTTGAGAGGCAAATGATGCTGAAGGATTGTAATTGTGGCCGATGGATGCGGAACCCTGTGCTGCTTACGATTTCCCCTCTTCCTTTGGCTGGGATGGACTAGTATCAAGTCAGACTCCGGTGGAAGTGATATAAGGACGATTCTTCACAACATGATAGCAGCAAAAGTGGAGATGTGCCAAAAAAATGCAACAGACCGCTGCACTTCCTAAGCGGTTATCCTGCGATCGCTGCTACGCGCAGAAACTGCGGTGTCCGCGGCCGAGTACGAATGACGATGCAAGTTGCATCCGATGTTTAAGGCAGAAGGTGCAATGCGTCTATAGCACTGCTTTGCCTAAGGGTCGGCCCCGCGCTGCGGTCCGTGCTTGTGCTGCTGGAGCGGGAGCTACGGCTGGAGCTCCCCCTATAACTACGACGACGACTACTGCTGCCCCGTCTAGCTCAGACACTGCCCCTCCCATTTTCTCCACCGAAGATCTGGCCTCGTTGACCGGTCTATCCACTTCAGGATGGCTTCCAGACCCGACTTGGGAGGATAGTTTTTGTTTCCTATCATCCCAAGTTGTGCCGCAGCCGCCACCTCTTGATACCACTCCTCCGCCTCGTTCACTCTCCGCATCAGGTTTAGACAACCCTGAAAATTGCGTTGGGCGGCTTTCGGACTTAGCAACGCGTCTTCACGCCGTCTATCAAACCACACGAGCGCTGTCTGATCATCCCCTCATCACCAATGCCGCGTTTGAAGCTGTTACCACACTTTTCAATGCCCCCTTGTCACCTCCCAGCGCTGCTACCACCGCCGCCACTACCAACCTCCGCGAAACATTCACATCCTCCCGTCATCTCCTAGAAACCATCTCTCATCTTCTCTGGGCCACACCTAACAACAATCCATCAACTGCACCCGCAGCTGCGGCAGACGAAACAGTGATATACCATTTCACCATAGCCTGCTACAGTCTTCTCCTCCTCATATATGCTACCCTCCTTACCGCCCTTCACCGCGATGCCCTAACTCACACCCAACCGTCATTGTCGACAACCACCACCACTACCGGCCCCGACAACAACACCAGCACATGGTGCTCAGCCCCCTCCCTCGTCGAACTTCGCCTCGTCCTCCTCTTCCACATGATCACCTATTTTCTGGATCGTCTCCAGCAAATGATCAGGATGTATACCGCCGAGTTTGAAAAGCAGGCTTCCAACAGCACCACCGGAAGACGACCACCCACAAGCGGGAGATGGAGCGAGGAAGTAGAGGAGATGATGGTGGTCGAAGAGCCTTGGGAGCGGGAGCAGCATATACCGCCCCCGCCTCCTCCCACCTCCTCTCTGGGCTCGATCTCTGAGTTGGAGACCCAAGCTCGAGCGGCACTGATGCAGCTGCGAATGTCGTTGGTGGCTACAAGGGGTGGTTTGGTCGATAACTAGAGTGTATTTCTGCTGTGGTCATCATGCGTAGAACCCTCTTCTTCGGTGGATAGGTCTTTTTTTTTTTTTTTTTTTTTTTTCTCTTGAAGCTGAGTAAGGCACATGAGTGATGACTGTTTCGTAGACGTCGTTGAGTTATATTAGCCTTGGGATTGACTGGGTAGCATTAGAAGCAGACTGTGCCAACAAAGACAGGGGTTTAGATAGCGTTTTGCTTAGTGATGTACGGTATTCATGTCTTGTTGTTCTGAACTTTACAATGGATCATGTTTGGCATTTAGCTAGTCTTCTTAGATTCAAATTTAACTGATAGCCAATTTACCCATGATCTTAGACGTCGGGTCGAGTATGATAAAAGATAGATGTGCCCCATCTTTTCAATCATGAAGGAAAGAATTTGGAGTATAGTAGAGATTAAGTTATTCAGCCTGACAATTAGCTCTTAATCACCTTGGTTGGGATCTCGGAAAGAGGAATTGAATGATGGAGGCTTCAATCATATATCTACGGTGCCTATATAGCCGAACGAAAACTTAATACCTAGAGTGTTGTTATGCTCTCTTCCAATACAACACCCGGTGAAAGCTCCTCAAATCAAGCAACTACCCTCGGCCTCACCCGTACTTCCAACTCGGGCTTCTGCCAAAGCCTCATAACGCGACAACGCTGCAACCAATCGCGGCTCAACCCCTCATCCAACTCCATCTCAAACGACCAGACCATCTTGGCGAGGATCAGCCGCATCTCCGCGTATGCCAGGTTCCTACCGAGACAGCTCCGGGGTCCGAAGCTGAACGGCTGGAACGCGGCGCGCTTGTCGTTGACGTATCTCTCGTCTCCGAGCCTTGTTCATTTCCGTTAGTTACAAGATTATTTCTTCACCACCTACCACCACACAGATCTATCCTCACGCAACAAAAGGCAAGACGAAGGAAGGGGTTACTAACCACCGCTCCGGAACCCAACTGTCCGGATCCCTGAAGTTTCTCTCTGAGTGATACGCCGCGTAATGACTGACCGAGAGAATCGTCCCCTCGGGTATCCAATACCCACTCACCGTCTCTCCACCCTTGGGCACCCGGCGGATGAATCCTACAGGGATGGGCGGGAAGAAGCGGAGTGCTTCGGAAATGACGGCGTTCAGGTAGGGTGTCCGCTTGGCGACTGCCTCTAGTGTGATGGACTCGTAGGTTGGGAATTCCGAGTGGATCTCGTCCTGGAGGGTACGGAGGACGCGGGGATGCGTGAGGAGGAGGTAGGTCGCTCCGCTGAGTAGGGTGGCGGTCGTCTCAGAGCCCGCGGTCGTCATCAAGGTCGCGTTGGAGTCGATCTCTGCCCGGGTGAGCTTCACGCCCCGGTTGTTGTTGTTGGCGAGGATGTGGCTCATAAAGTCGGGCCGAGGGGTGGCGGTATTGATTCGTTTAGTGACTTGGGTGGAAACCCATGTCTGGATTCCCTCTGCCTTGTTAGCATTGAGGGTGTATACTGGGAAATGTGGGGAGGAAGGAAGGGAGGGAGGGAGAGGAGAGGGTGTACCGCGTATTCCTTTCGTTTCTGGATCAGGCCTTTATCTACTATGAGGTTGCCGAGGAAGCGAAGCCACGGGTAGTAGGCGAGGATGTAGATCATCCGGAGGGACTTGAGGGATTGAAAGAGGAGGGCGACGTATTGGTGGGTTGAGAGGTCTTGGAGGCAGCCAAAGGGCTCCCCTGCAGTGCATCAGAAATGAATTATCTAGAGGACAGGTGCCAGTGAGAGAAATCATACCGAAGAGAAGATCGGCAATTACATCAAAGGTCGTCCAATTGTACCATTTCACCATGTCCACCGGCTCGTCGTTGGCGGATGTTACTTCTTTGAGTCGGTCGATGAGTTGATCGACGTAACGCTGAACCAGTGGTTCCTGGCCCATGAGCGCCTTATCGCTGAAGGCATGGGCGAGTACACGGCGACCTAGCGAGAGGGTAAGTAAGATGCATAAAGTGAACGGATGAGGAGACATACACACCTCGAGAGTGGTCCTCATCATTTGCCTGCAAGATAGACGGCGCCCCATTGCTCGGAGTCACATACCATACCGGGTCCTATTGATGTTGGTCGACACGATTCATCTGGCCCCAGGACGGGAGGTGGGCTGAATAGCTTACCTTGGACATATTTAGATGCCCTTTCATCTTTCCCGTCCGAAACCCTGCAAACAGCAGAATTAGCCCTGATCTGCCCCATAGTTTGCGATGTGATGAATAACCTACCATAGATATCGGGGAACGCCGTCTCGCCACAAATGAGTGAAACCTCGTTGGGCGCGATGCGTACCACTTCCCCGTATTGTTGGTGCAGAGAGACGGAATTCTGGACAGTTGTGCCGGCAAGCAAATGTCTTGCATAGGGGATCATAGAGACTGCATTCAGACGAGGTCCGGGAATATGGCGGAGGGGATCCAGACAAAGAGCGTAGGCCACCTTGCTAATAATGTAGATGAAGAGCTTCCAAGAGAGGTGAGTCAATGGCTTTGCTCATGCCCAGATAGAAGGGCCAACATACCCATCCGGCACCGATCCCTAGAATGACTCGCGGTGTCGCCAACCACTCTACTCTCATAGCAACGTCCATGACTAACGTGTTTATTGCCATTTTGCCTTAAGTCGAAATGTGGGATGTTTCAGCGCCGGAGGAGACCGACTTCAATTGAGGGGGGTATGCGTCGAATACTATCTCGGACGGGTATATATTCTGGAAACACTCAACTATTCCCTCGCCAGATGTTGAACGCGTAGACTGGGATGATGAAGTGTACGAAGTGGATTAACAAACTCTCTCATTGGATGTGATAATTAGCGCCCTCGCTAAGATTTCGGTGGTTTGTCCAAGAAGCAGAAGACAAGGGTAGATCATTGCCAAGCCGTCGGAGATCGGTGGTTTCAAGTCTAATGCAAATCATGCTATCAATAGTGGCCGAATTGTTGATGAGGGAAAACCCCCGGGCGCAGCGGTTAGAGCTTGAACGGTGATCAATCGGCGATTTTAGTAGATGTCCAAGATAGAAACGACATCGATAACAAACCCAGGCTTACCGCAATGTACCGCAGCTTTCAGCTAATAAGGCACGCATCCAGGACAGGAGCACCTGTCAACAATTGCAACCAAACAACACCCAACCATGGCCCCTCATCCACAACCTGAACCTATCGCCATTGTAGGCAGCAGCTGCCGCTTCCCTGGCGGCTCTAGCTCCCCATCCCGCCTCTGGCAGCTCCTGTCCAACCCGCAGGATGTCTCGAAAGAGATCCCAGAGGACCGCTTTGAGCTGCAAGGGTTTTACCACCCCAAGGGCGCCCACCATGGGACAACCAATGTCCAGCGCGCCTACACGCTGGACGAGGATGTGCGCATCTTCGACGCCGGCTTCTTCAACATCAGCCCCAATGAGGCCGACTCCATGGATCCGCAACAGCGGCTGCTCATGGAAGTCGTCTACGAGGCGCTCGAATCCGGAGGCCATCCCTTGGAGGGGCTCCGAGGCTCCGACACTGCAGTCTTTGTCGGGACTATGTCGGTCGATTATAACGATATCCTCATTCGGGATCTAGAGAGCACACCGACCTACTTCTCTACTGGTACCTCGCGTGCGATCCTTGCCAATCGGATCTCTTATTGCTTTGATTGGCATGGCCCATCGATGACCATCGACACGGCATGCTCGTCGAGTATGGTTGCTTTGCATCAGAGTGTGAAGGCCTTGCGGGCGGGCGAGGCGCGGGTCGCTGTTGCAGGAGGCACGGAGTTGTTGTTAGGGCCTGGTATGTCTCCATCACCAATGGGTCCCCGGGCGTAACCAGCAGAATGACTGACAATCGAGTACATAGAGCAATTTGTGGGGGAAAGCAAGATGAACCTTCTCTCGCCAACCGGGCGATCGCGCATGTGGGACGCCGATGCCGACGGCTATGCACGTGGCGATGGTGTCGCGGCCGTCATCTTGAAGCGCCTGAGTGATGCCATCGCCGATGGAGACCACATCGAGAGTATTATCCGCGACACCGGGGTCAACCAAGACGGTAAGTCAACCGGGCTGACAGTCCCCAGCTCTGAGGCCCAAGCAGCCCTCATCCGCAGCACATATGCCCGGGCGGGTCTGGATCTCAGCAATCCCGACGACTGGCCGCAATTCTTCGAGGCGCATGGGACCGGAACCAAGGTTGGCGATCCTCGCGAGGCTGCGGCCATCAGTGGCTGTTTTGGCAGCCAGCCCATCCACGGCAATCCGCTGTATGTCGGCTCGATCAAAACGATCATCGGTCATACTGAAGGGACAGCCGGGTTAGCCGGTGTGTTGAAGGCGTCGCTGGCGATTCAACACGGTGTGATCCCGCCCAATATGTTGCTCAACCGGTTGAATCCCGATGTAAAGCAGTACTACACAAATCTGCAAATCCCGACCTCCCCGATACAGTGGCCGGTATTACCGGCGGGAGTGCCGCGGCGAGCCAGTGTGAATAGCTTTGGTATGTTTCCTTTCCCTGCTTTTGGGCTACTGCGATTAGGGAGGTTATGATTTCTCTTTTCTAATTCATCGAACAGGTTTTGGAGGTACAAATGGCCATGCAATCATTGAGGGATACGAGCCAAAGGCAAGTAACTTCGATGGTGAACAGCAGCAGCCAGTAGCACCAGTAACTTCATTCGTCTTCTCGGCTACGACGGAGGAGAGCTTAGTCGCTCTCCTTCAATCGTACTCGAACTATCTAAAGATCAATCCGACCATCGACCTCCACAGCCTCGCCTGGACATTACAATCTCGTCGGTCAGCCTTTGCTTACAAGACTGCCGTGGCCGCCTCCACCATAGATGGCCTCGTCTCCCGTCTGGAAAGCAAAGTAAAGCAGGCAAAGAGCACACCACCGACTCCAGCCGGCGTGCGCTCGACCCCAGCGACTCCGCACCTGCTCGGGGTCTTCACTGGCCAGGGAGCACAGTGGCCAACAATGGGTGCTCACTTGATCCAAATCTCCGCTACTGTGCGTGCGAAACTGGAGCAACTGGACCACTCTCTCGCAACGCTGCCGGAAGCCGACCGTCCCTCCTGGCGGATTGCGGATCAGCTCCTGGCTCCAAAGGGGGAATCTCGCCTCAGCGAGGCGGCCCTCTCCCAGCCCCTGTGCACCGCAGTGCAAGTGGTCCTAGTTGATCTCTTGCGCAGCGCAGGAATCACCTTCGACGCGGTGGTGGGCCACTCCTCCGGCGAGATTGGCGCAGCCTACGCGGCTGGCTTCATTTCCGCCGCCGACGCCATTCGTATCGCCTACTATCGTGGCGTGCACGCTAAGTTGGCGCAGGGACAAAAAGGCCAGAAGGGCGCAATGCTGGCGGTTGGAACCTCTTGGGAAGACGCCCAGGAATTGATTGACCTTCCCGCGTTTGCGGGCAAAATCCGCATCGCTGCGCATAACTCGGCCGCCAGCTTGACGCTATCCGGGGATGCTGATGCCATTGCGCATGCCAAACGCGTCTTTGACGAGGAGAAGAAGTTTGCGCGGCTTTTGCTAGTGGACACTGCGTATCACTCACATCACATGCTGCCGTGCAGTGGTCCGTATATTGAGTCCCTGCGGGCGTGTCAGATTCAGGTGAACAAGGACCGCGATTCTTCGTGCACCTGGTTCTCGAGTGTGCGGGCCGATGGCAAGCCTATGGTGGCGGACGAAGAGCTGCAGGACGTCTATTGGAGTGACAATATGGTCAACACGGTCTTGTTCGCCGATGCGGTCAAACGTGCCGCCGCCAACGAGTCTCTCAACCTGGCCATCGAGGTCGGGCCCCATCCGGCGCTGAAGGGCCCAGCACAACAGAACATCTCCGACGTGCGCCCTTCCTCCCCACTTCCGTATACGGGGCTACTCAACCGAGGGAATAGCGATGTCGAAGCGTTCTCTGATGCTCTGGGCTCTGTGTGGACGTATCTTGGCCCGGGCACGGTAGACTTTCAGTCCTATACCCGGCTGGTGACCCCAGCAGCGCCAGCGCCAAAGCTTCTTACTGGGCTACCTTCTTATCAGTTCAGCCGCGATCGCGTCCATTGGCATGAGTCTCGTCGAGCGAAGAAGATGCGCCGCCGCGGTGCCGCCTTCCACGAGCTCCTCGGGGTACCATCCCCAGACAACACCGACCAGGACCTCCGCTGGACTAACTTCCTCAAGTCCAGCGAGATCCCTTGGTTGGATGGACATAAGCTCCAAGGACAAACCGTCTTCCCCGCGGCAGGGTATGTGGCTATGGCGCTGGAAGCCGGCAAATGGCTGGCCGGGGATCGGAGTGTGCAGGTGCTGGAAGTCCGTAATCTGACCATCGATCGTGCCATCACCTTCGACGACGGGGCAGGCTTTGCCGTCGAGACCCTGGTGGCTCTGACTGGAATCAGCCCGATGAGCGCAGCAAAGAACAACAGCAGTAGCAGCAGCCAAATGGCCGACTTCGCGGTCTACGCTTGTCCAAACACAGGGTCGCTGGGTCTGGAGTTGGTCTCAAGTGGCCAAGTGCATATTGTCTACGGCGCACCATCCTTCTCAGTGCTCGCCTCCACTCCTCTGGATGACTCTAACATGACCTCCATCGACTGTGAACAGTTTTACTCCACCCTTTCAGGTCTGGGGTATGGCTACAACGGGCCCTTCCACACCTTGGCCGAGACGAAACGGCGATTGGGCCAGGCCTCCGCCACCGTAGCCACGTATGCGTACTCAGATGACGAGCGGCCCTTGATTGTCCATCCGACCATGCTGGACGTTGCTTTCCAGGCCTCCTTTCTGGCGCAGACCAGCCCCGGCGATGAGCAGCTGTGGTCCCTCCACGTGCCGACCTCCATCAAGTGCGTCCGGATCAACCCCGAGCTGTCGGCCTCGCTGCCCACGGCCTCTGTAGAGCTGCCTCTGTCCGCCGTTTTGCATGAGCCTGAGTCCATCTCACTCCACAGCAGCGTGGATGTCTTCACCGAGAACAAACGCGAGACCTTGCTGCAGGTGGAAGGACTGATTATGAAGCCCTTCTCCCCTGCCACGGCCGCCGACGATCGTCCTATGTTCTCCACTATGGAGTATGGTGTCGCGGTCCCCAATGCAGGTGTCGCTACTGGGCATGAGCACCCAACTGACAAGGAGGTCGTGCTGGCGGGGGTTTGCGACCGGGTAGCGTATTACTATTTGCGCGCCTGGGAGGCAAAGGCGGGTGATGAAGAAGAGAGATTCCGCCATCTACTATCCACCTTTGTGGGCGGACAGCATTCATCGATGACAGAAGCGTGGAGCAGCGATGAGGAAAAGGATATCCAGGCGCTGATCAGCCAGTATCCCGAGAGCACCGACTTGCAGCTCCTTGCGACTCTGGGAGACAGCTTCTCGACTGAGACCCTAGCTCAGCCTCTCCTCGACGAATGCTTCAGTCGCGGTGTAGGGTTTGCTCGCGCGAGCGCTGGCCTGGCACGGACAGTGCAGCAGATCTCTCACCGGTATCCACATGCGAAGATTGTCGAAATTGGTAGACTATCTATCCCTCCCGCCGATGAAAGTGCTGAAATGCTAACAATGATATCAGGAGCTGGACGCGGTCATACCACCGAA